AACAGTTCCAAAAGAACCGCCTACTCCCACTGTGCATGTGAGAGTTCCCTTAGCGGATCAGGGGTTGGCAGCCCCGCCCCCGGAACGCACCTGGGCGCAGCCTCGACCCCGCAACGCACCTGGGCGCAGCCTCGACCCCGCAGGGTCCAGGTGCAGAGGGACCGGGATGCACGCAATACCTTTCGACGCAGAGCTGGGCAAGGGGCCAACGGGAATGGATGCTCCGACAGACGAAGCCACGTGGGAACAAGGAGGAGCCCAGGGCAGCTTTTGCTGCAGGGACAGGGGAAGTGTCACAGGGAGCGAGTGGAGTTGCTGGGGAGGACACGGTAGCATGTGAGATTTGAAGGCGGGGAAGATTCCATCGTTTTCCTGACCACCTAACAGTGATGCTGTGGGCTTTCTGGATGGGACAGGACTTCAGACACAATAATCCATTCCGCCGTCCCCACGCAGTGCCTTTCAGCCATTCTGTTTCATCGCAGGGAGGAAGGAGAGGCATGCCCTCTAGCTGAAGGTCACCCGGGGCTCACCACCCGGTTGCCAGGAAGTCTCCCTCCTCCACGTGGCAAAGTCTTCCTCCTCCACGTGGCAATCGCCGCTGCTCCTTGGCTCCCTGTGCCTCCGCCAGTCTCTCTGGTTCTGCCTGCCTTTGTGCCTTCGTCAAGCAATTATCCCTCCCTGCTTCAATCAGGGTCCGGCGGATCGTCTTCAAGCCTGATCTTGAGGATGGGAAAGGGAGATAGACATTTCTTACCTTCTCCTTCCTGACTGCTTAAAGCCAAACATATTCCCAGCCAAAGATGAGTGTTGCTACCTGAAACGCAAGTTTGCGAGCAGAAGGCCACTCGAATCTCCGCTGACCAGGCCTTAGGAGGACCGTTGGAGTTCTGGAGAGCTGCCCCGGCGCCGCTGCAGGGACCTCTGCTGTGTCCCCAAGTCCCTCAAAACTCTCCCGGGCCGCATTTCCCCCTCTCATGTCTGTCTCACGAGGCCACTCACAGCCTGGACTCCTCTCCCCAAGAAAACTTGGCAGGATCTCCCCCGCTGTACTGAAAACAAAAGCCTGGACGGGAGGTATATGGGGACCAGGAAGAGCCAGCTTAAATGGAAGGAAATGGAGGGAACACAGCTCAAAAGCTTAGCCAAGTGGGGCTTTGCTATGTTTGAAATTTAACATAATAAAAAGACTTTTAAAGTTGGCAAAAGAAAAAGGGGGAAGAGAACAAAGAAAGATAAACGAAAGAAATGAGAGAGAAAAAGAAAGAAGGAAAAAAGAGAGAAGGAAGGAAGGAAAAAAGGAAGAAAGGAAGGCAGGAAGGGAGGAAGGGAGGAAGGGAGGAAGGGAGGGTGAAGGGAGGAAGGGAGGGTGAAGAAAGGCTTTGGCAGGTCAGACACTGGTACTTCCCAGCCTCCCGAGGCTGCCCCAGCGCGCCCCCTGGTGGTCGCACATAGAATTGTCCTATTCGGTGAGCAGAGACAAAGGTTCCTTCTCTCATCCTCACGAAGTTCAGTCCTTTTTTTTTTTTGAGCCTGAGTCTCGCTCTGTCGCCCAGGTTGGAGTCCGATGGCGCCATCTCTGCAAGCTCCGCCTCCCAGGTTCACGCCATTCTTCTCCCTCAGCCTCCCGAGTAGCTGGGACTACAGGCGCCCGCCACCCCGCCCTGCTGATTTTTTGTATTTTTAGTAGAGGCGGGGTTTCACCGTGTTAGCCAGGATGGTCTCGATCTCCTGACCTCGTGATCTGCCTGCCTGGGCCTCCCAACGTGCTGAGATTACAGGCGTGAGCCACCGCGCTCGGCGGAAGCTAAGTTTTTAGAAGCCCATTCTCCACCTACCAGGGAAGGAGAACAGAGTGGGATTTTGTTTGAAATTTGTCTGTACCTCAACTGGTGTAGCTTGGGGGTGGGGGGATGGTTCTTCTTTTCCCCATGCTTGTCAGTGTCACAGACATGAAGTCATCCTCCCCAAGCCACCGTCCTCACCACAGACCCATCTTTCCCTTGGAGTCTCAGCTTCCAGTCTCGGCTCCACTGGTTACTACTTTGCTGAACTGGAGCTCGTGGGGACTGTATCTGAGCTTCCTTTTCATAATTTCCCTGCCTTCTTGCCAAGTGTGAGGATGCGGAGGGAAGGCTTTAGAAAACCTTGCAGTAAACACAATGCATGGGTGGCCACGTGTCCGCTTTGCTGAAAGCGCCTTCTATCTTTTGTGTGGACACAGTTCACTGAAGACTCTGCGAGTGCACAGCTAGCCACACCATGGCACACAGCAGCACACAGCCTGGTCACACTTTCCTTAGTTGATTAATCACACTTCAGTTAGAGAGGATGACTTACCTCCTGACACTTGGCACAGCCTCCCAGTTCTAGTGAGATCATTTGGAAAGGAACTAAGATGAATACCTTGAAACGGTTCAGTTCCCAGCTAGCTTCTGTTGCAGCTTTAAATTCATAGTGTGGCACCCATTTCTCACCGTGAAAACTGCCAGAGATGGTGAGTGCTGTTATTCCAAGAACACCAGCAGAATATTTCTTGTTCACTTGTTACCTTTTACTTTGATCTTCGTGCCCTAGTCCCTTGTAATAAAAGCACTGTTGATTCAGATATTAACAACAGGACTGGGACCAAAATGCTAAATTAAAATATCTAAGACAGGTTGTTGTCCAGAAGCCAAAATAATTTTAATCAGGTTCAACCTCAAGACATATACATTAAAAAAAAAGATACCTTGCATTATTTGCTCCTTTAGTTAAGCATGAAATCACTCTCTGTAATTATCATTGGGAGGAAAATCTAAGTTTATAGCATAGAGAAGAGTGCAGATGAAGAATTCACTATCAGCTAAGATTGACAGGCACATGGATGCACGAGAGTGTGTGCTTTTTCTCAGTGGTCCTTTATTCTCTGCTCCAAGAGGAGCTTAATCCATTAGGGCTTCCTACATGCATGTCATGGTTCCTGCCATCAACAAATTTGCAGTTTAATCCAAGAGACAGAAACCCCTAAACTTGAAACAGTGAGGGAGATGGAGTTAATTTATTAATGCCCTTCTTTTACCGGGCATTGCACTTGTATTTAACGACTCTAGGGGTAAATATATAATTACCTCCATTTCACAGATCAGAAAACTGAGATGAAGAAGGGTCATAATTTTGGTCTGAATGAGAGATAATTCCCACTTATAAATGAACACATCATGTTTCTGATTTTTATAGCTCAGAAAAAGTTTGGATACTGGTACCCACCACTGAGAGATGAACCCATTCTGGGTGTGCTTGGGAAGGAAGACCAAGGATTGGTTGGGTCTAAACTGAGGTAGCATCACCAAGTAACTGCCACTCCCAGATCCTCTAGGCCTTGTCTGAGGCCTCCTGGCTTCTTACATTGCCCACATTCCCCTCGGTGTGAGATCTGTTAACAATGACCACAAGGAATTTAGAAAAAGAGAAGTTTCTTACAAACAGAGGTGCATCCAACAGCCAGATGTCCAGGCTGGATAAACGATGCAGGCTGGACTTCCCCAGCCCAGGTGATGTGACTGCAGACCTGAGCTACTGAACACACTCTTACCACATCAGTGAGACAAAATTAAAATTAATATTATATTTACCTTTTTGAAAGTAAAAGCAAGTTTATTAAGAAAGTAAAGGAATAAAAGCTCATTTCATTTACTTTTTTTTTCCTTTTTTTTTTTAGAGACAGGATCTCACTCTGTTAACGAGACTGGAGTACAGTGACACCTTCTTAGCTCACTACAGCCTCGAACTTCTGTGCTCGAGCAATCCTCTTGCCTCAGCCTCCTGAGTAGCAGGGACTATAGATGCAAGTCTGGCTCATTTTTTTGTAGAGATGGGATCTCTCTATGTTGCCCAGGCAGGTCTTGAACTCCTGGCCTCAAGTAATCCTCCTGCCTCTGCCTCTCAAAGTGCTGGGATTATAGGCATGAGCCACTGCACCCAGCTAACAATGTATTTTAAAAGTCCTTATCTTTGGGGGAAGTTCCCTTCTCCCAGTCTGTGCTTCTGGAAGTAATAGTATAGCAGCCCCATAGTTATCCAAGATGTTACCATTAGGGAAAACTGGGTGAAGGGCACACAGAATTTCACCATATTATTTATTATTATAACTCCATGCGAATTTATACTTATCAAATAAAGTTAAACAAACACACTTACATTTCTTTTTAAAAATTAAAACTTGGCCAGGCGCAGTGGCTCAAATCTGTAATCCCAGCACTTTGGGAGGCTGAGGTGGGCAGATCACAAGGTCAGGAGATCGAGACCATCCTGGCTAACACGGTGAAACCCCGTCTCTACTAAAAAATACAAAAAACTAGCCAGGCGAGGTGGCAGGTGCCTGTAGTCCCAGCTACTCGGGAGGCTGAGGCAGGAGAATGGCATAAACCCGGAGCTTGCAGTGAGCTGAGATCTGGCCACCGCACCCCAGCCTGGGTGACAGAGCCAGACTCCGTCTCAAAAAAAAAAAAAAAAAAAAAAAAAATTAAAACTTAAAAATGTATACTTAAAATTTGCTAAGAGGGGAGATCTTAGGTGAAGTGTTCTTACCACCAAAACAAAATGATAATACCAGAAAAGTGGCAGGAAGGAGCTTTGGCAGGGGAAGCTGGGTACGTGTTTGGCCTTGGTGGTGATAGGTTCTCGGTATATTGAGATGTAAATTTGTTCAGCTTTTGACATGTCAGTCATTCCTCAATGAAGTGGGTTTTTTAAAAAAGCTAAACAAATATTATAGCAGCAGCATTAACTATCATTTATTCATTTACTCAACAAATATCTATTGGACACTTACTGCATGCCAGCCACTGTTGTCAGTACTGGGAGATAGCAGAGAATGAAACAGGCAAAACCTTTCTCTTGAGGAGCTGGATTCTAACGCTAGTTGGCTAGACCAAGGCTTCATTCCAACAGGTTGCTGAAAAGTCAAATTATTACATAAACACTAACTACAAAGTTTACTTCCTCAGTTTCCCCAGAGGAGAGCTGATTAGGTTTTTCTGGGCTGCTTGACAAGACTCAGACAATATTTGTGAATACGAAGCTTTGTCCCAAGTGGTAAATAAACGTGCTGAGAAACACCTGTAAAGTTTAAAGGCGTGCTCTCCTCAACGCGATTGGAAACTCTAACTCCCTTCTCTTTTGTACTTTTGCTTGCTGTCCGCTACAGAGTGTCCAAGCACCGAGCTGTGCACACAGTCGCTCCCGGCAGAAATGCTTAGGATGTGATCCATGAATCGTAAATCCCAGCTAGCGCTCACAAAGGCGGACGTTTCTCCCCAAGACCATTCCAGTGCCCCAGACGTCCACAGACATCCAGGAACATGCAGCCGGCAGACAAAAAATGGCAGCCACCGAAGCGCTGAGGGGAGCCCTCCTGGCCACTTCTGTCCCAGCTCCAAGGGTCTCTCCACGATGGCCTGCAACAGCACGTCCCTGGAGGCTTACCCATACCTGCTGCTGAACACCAGCAACGCCTCGGACTCCGGATCCACCCCGCTGCCCGCACCCCTGAGGATCTCCTTGGCCGCGGTGATGCTGCTGATGACCGTGGTGGGGTTCCTGGGCAACACTGTGGTCTGCATCATCGTGTACCAGAGGCCGGCTATGCGCTCGGCCATCAACCTGCTGCTGGCCACCCTGGCCTTCTCGGACATCATGCTTTCCCTCTGCTGCATGCCCTTCACCGCCGTCACCCTCATCACCGTGCGCTGGCACTTTGGGGACAACTTCTGCCGTCTCTCAGCCACGCTCTACTGGTTTTTCGTCCTGGAGGGCGTGGCCATCCTGCTCATCATCAGCGTGGACCGTTTCCTCATCATCGTCCAGCGCCAGGACAAGCTGAACCCGCGCAGGGCCAAGGTGATCATCGCGGTCTCCTGGGTGCTGTCCTTCTGCATCGCGGGGCCCTCGCTCACCGGCTGGACGTTGGTGGAGGTGCCGGCGCGGGCCCCACAGTGCGTGCTGGGCTACACGGAGCTCCCCGCCGACCGCGCCTACGTGGTCACCTTGGTGGTGGCCGTGTTTTTCGCGCCCTTCGGCGTCATGCTGTGCGCCTACATGTGCATCCTCAACACCGTCCGCAAGAACGCCGTGCGCGTGCACAACCAGTCGGACAGCCTGGACCTGCGACAGCTCACCAGGGCGGGCCTGCGGCGCCTGCAGCGGCAGCAACAGGTCAGCGTGGACTTGAGCTTCAAGACCAAGGCCTTCACCACCATCCTGATCCTCTTCGTGGGCTTCTCCCTCTGCTGGCTGCCCCACTCCATCTACAGCCTCCTCTCTGTGTTCAGCCAGCGCTTTTACTGCGGTTCCTCCTTCTATGCCACCAGCACCTGCGTCCTGTGGCTCAGTTACCTCAAGTCCGTCTTCAACCCCATCGTCTACTGCTGGAGAATCAAAAAATTCCGCGAGGCCTGCATAGAGTTGCTGCCCCAGACCTTCCAAATCCTCCCCAAAGTGCCTGAGCGGATCCGAAGGAGAATCCAGCCGAGCACAGTCTACGTGTGCAACGAAAACCAGTCTGCGGTTTAGGGGGGCTAGGGGGCCACAGAGAAGGGGCAGCTGAGCCCGGGTCCCAGGGCTGGCTGGTCTGTCCTGTTCTGTTCCCTGGCATGTTGGTCATAGTCTGCACTTTGTGGTGGCTATTTAAGCACAAAGGTACTCATTTGTAATCAGATGAGCTGCAGCGCCCAAATTTCAAATTTTGGCAAGACGAATTATTTTTGTTTCTCTTTGCAGAAGAGCCGAATACAGGGCTGATGGGGACTGCAAAGTCATTAAGGCAAAAATGGAGTGGGCTGGGGCGTGCAGAAGTTGGGCAGAAAGGGAGGAGGAGGGCAAAAGGGAGTGAAGCTGGTTGAGTGTGGGGCAGGAGGATGGGTCAGTCACAAGAGCTTCAACCTGCCCTCTGAGCCCTCTCTGCACCTGCTCAAGAGAAACCCTGAGAAACTCCAGTAGGTGTGAGCTCCTGGGTGTTCACTCGTTTTGTTTGACATCAGGGCTCTTCAGCTATTGATGTTTGTGGTGTGTGGGGACTCACAAGAGGTCCTTTATATTGATCAGATGTGCATTTCTTCCCAGGCCTAAGTATCTTTCCTAGAAAGAAACGAAAATCACAACGGGGAAGCGGAGTGAGCCTCTGTGCTTTGAGCTCCCTGGAATGATGCATGGGAGGCCTCAGAGGCTTGAAGCCCAGAGAAGGTCATGCGTAGCCCAGGTGAAGTGAGAAGCACATCCAGGAGCTCCTGCATGTCCCCAGCGCCCCCCACCCGCTGGGTCCACCCCGTCCCTGCACCCCAAGGTCACTCGGCCTGTCTACTGGAGAACCCTTTGGCCCTTCCCTCTTTGCCTCCACCCCTGTCCCTGCATCCCTTCATTTTCCTCCCCTCCGTTTCCCGTGTGCTATAACTCACCTGCTGAGCAAGCGTCTGTAGTGACCTGCTTTCAGTGTCAGCAGCGGGCAGGCTGGGCTTAGTTTACGCATTTCCTTTGGATCCCCTGGAGCTCCAGAGCCCTTCAAGCCACCAAATCCACTTCAGCACTGGACCCACTGCAAGTGCGGCACCAAGGAGCCCAATTCTCGGGGTCCCCATTGGTCTCTGTGTTCCTCCTACCTCACTCAGATCCACTGCTGCCATCCTGTTTACCTACTGGGACCAGATCCCGGAAGTGAGGTTGCCCAAAGGGGACTTCTCTGCTTGTGCCCTATTCGGCCACCACCAGGGGTCCCCACACTGGCATATGAGGGTCCTGATCCAGGGCATAACACTGAGCCCACTGAGCTCTCTTTATTGTTCCAGATCTGAAGAGGGTGGGAAATTTAAGGAGCAATTTAGAAAATCTGATTCCAGGTCTGACTCTATCAGGAACTAGTCATGTGACCTTGTTCATTTCTCCTCATTTCTCTGGGCCTCAGTTTCCCCATATGCCAAACGAGGAGGCAGGTCTAGATGATTTCCCATGTGCCCTTTCATCTCTCAAACTCTCTGATTCTGAAACGTGTATTTTCTGTCTGAAGTCATCAGGTCCCCTGCATCCATTTATTCATCCATGCAAAGAGCATGCGTTAAGTGCCTACTAGATGTAAGGCACTGTGGGGGAGATAGTGATGAATGAGGCATGGGCCATGCCCCAAAGCAGTTGTCTGATTTATCTCAGGATCATTGTAACTCAAATTCAGCCTAAGAGCACAGAAGCCCCATTTTTGCTTCACTTCCCATTTCTTTCTAAACTGAATTAAGAGCCAGCCCCTCCTTCTCATACTTTCCTCCCGCAGTAGTGGTAACATGGGCAAAGAAGAAGGGGGGTAAAAGGGAAAACATAACTTCCCTTAACCCTCCTCTTCAGCCCAGAGGAGGGTAAAGAAGATAATTGACACTTGTTCCCCCTCACCTCCCTCCCCGTTTATTCCCAGATGGAGAGAGAGGGAAAAGATGAGCAATTGACGTGTGAGCGACAGAGGTGGGTCCCATCAATTCTGTGTCTCCAGTTCCCCCAGCAAGGTGGGGATTTGCCTTCAGCTCCATGGAGTAAGGCTGTAGTTCCCCAGCAGTGCCCAACAGCACAGCCAAGTCACCAAGGGGACCAAGCCCATGGGCACGCCCCCCTCTGGTGGGCATTTCAGATAATTTCTTCAGGAGCCTTGAACAAAAGAGTTCACAACTGAATAAATGAAGGTACCAAAATTTACATCGATCAGTGTTATATGATGTATGTTGGATAGTAATATATTTGTTTCAAAGTAATAATTTTGTATATATTTTAAATAAAGTATTATTGCTCTTTCGGTGTATAAGCCTCTATGTTCTTGCCAAAATTTGCACCAAGACCACACATATTAAGCCCAGAATCCAATACCCAGTACCCCTATATCAATTTGTTCACACTGCTATAACAAAATGCCTCAGACTGGCTCATTTATCAACAATAGAACTTATTTCTTCCAGTTCTGGAGGCTGGGAAGTCCAGGATAAAGGTGTAGGTAGACTCAGTGTCTGGCAAGGGGTCCTGCTCTGCTTCATAGATGGCGCCTTGTGGCTGTGTCCTTGCATGGCAGAAGGAGAAGGGACACTCCCTCAAGCCTCTTTTCAGGGGCACCAATCTCATTCACCTCCCAAAGGCCTCATCTCTTAATACTATCACATCGAGTATTAGTTTCCAACACATGAACTTTGGAGACACCAATATTCAGGCCACAGCAGTGCCCTAAGAAGAAAGGCTTCAGGAAGTCTAGAACCTGAAAGTTACTAGCAAAAGCTGGAAAGACTAACGATAAGATGACAACCGGGAGACTGTTGGAACAACATGGGTCACAGCTGGCTGCCCCCACATGTTTTGTTTTGGTTTTTATGATGGTGCTGCTGAATCACTCCAGCCAGTTAGTCTCCTCTGACTTGCAGTGTGCCACTTTCATAATCCTACCCGGCCTTGCTTGAACCTTTAACAAACTTCGATTTCCTAAGATACCAAGCAAATGTCTGGTTCTGGTCTCCTTCCCTGAGATTTGCAGGATAAGCACTGCTTCATTGTTTTATTTTATTTTATTTTTTTGAGATGGAGTCTCACTCTGTCACCCAGGCTGGAGTGCAGTGGCGTGATCTTGGCTCATTGCAACCTCCGCCTCCTGGGTTCAAGAGATTCTCCTGCTTCAGCCTCCTGAGTAGCTGGGATTATAGGCGTGCACCACCATACCCGGCTAATTTTTGTATTTTTAGTAGAGACGGGGTTTCACCATACTGACCTCCTGACCTCAGGTGATTTGCCCGCCTCGGCCTCCCAAAGTGCTAAGATTACAGGCAGGAGCCACCATGCCCAACCCATTGATTTATTATTAATTTTTTTTGCATCTTCTCTCTAGTCCTGTGGTTCACCCAAACCCTGCACTCTGCGTGAAGTCTGGGCAGCTTCACAGCTAAATTATCTCTGTAGGGCCTTAGGCAAGAGAAAGAAACTGGCTGACCATGGTAATAACCCTGGAGGCAGACACCTGGGATCCTTGGGAGAGTCTTGCATTAAAAATGAGACACAAGGAAGTCTCAGAAGTGTCCTCCTACTTGTAACTACTCCTGCAAATCTGCCACCTTTTCCTCTTGAATTGTAGTCCCCAAGGTCAGGGTGAAACAAAATCAAAGGTTCCCTAGGATGTTCTGATGACCAAGATGAGCAGCAAATACCTAGATCAATTCTTACTTTGCCATTCGGAGCCACGGGTGTATTTTCCCTGCACACAAGTCACGGTGCATGTTTTTGTTTGTTTTTTGACTCAAAAAAACTTCTGCGTTAAGTATTTTCAACACTGTTCAGTTCCCTTATTCATGTAGTTGGGAACTTTGGCTGCAGAGCCCTCACAATTGCAGGAGTGCCCCGTGCTCGGTTTCTGCTCTTACGGAAACGCAGGGGATGTGGAGTATGTGCTTGAAACAGGACAGTCTGAACCCCAGGGTGCCTCGCTCTCTGTGGGATTCCAGGCAAGTGACATGGCATTCCTGTACCCCACCTGCCTCATCTCTGAAATGGCAGAAAAACTCCCAGCCGGAAGACCACAGTGAGGAATAAACAAAATCATGTATGGAAAGGATCTAATCCAAGGCTGAGTCCATGGCAGATGCTAAAGACATGGAAGCATTAGAGTCGCACTGTTGACCTGCTGATGGCCAAGGTTTGTTCCTTTTGGGCAAGGGTGGAAAGTTCTTTGAGAAAATGGCTGTTTGGTCATTCTGAAAATAAACAAACAAAAGCAAGCAAGTCTCTAGTGGAAAGCAGCTGGGTGTCCTGTAACTCAATTCAATACTGATGCTACCTACCTGGAGTTAGAGTCAGAACCCACAGGTTGAGGGCTCCGTCCCACAAGACTACCATCCCCATTTCAGATGCCAATCACAAGCAGGAGGTGGTCACCTGTGCTTCTGACCCACAGACTATAAATGGGAGTTTCTCACAACCGCCTTCTCAGGTTTGCTTAATTTGCTAAAGTGGCTCATAGAACTCAGGGAAGAACTTTATTTACGTTTACCCATGTATTAGTGTATTATTCTGTTCTCACAGTGCTAATAAAGACATACCCAAGATTAGGTAATTTATAAAGGAAAGAGGTTTAATGGACTCACAGTTCCACATGGCTGGGGAGGCCTCACAATCCTGGCGACAGGCAAATGAGCAAAGTCACATCTTACATGGTGGCAGGCAAGAGAGCTTGTGCAGGGGAACTTGACTTTATAAAACCATCAGATCTCATAAGACTCATTCACTACCGTGAGAATAGTATGGGGGAAACCATCCCCATGATTCAATTATCTCCACCTGGCCCTACCCTTGACACGTAGGGATTGTTACAATTCAAGGTGAGATTTCAGTGGTGCCAAAGCCAAACCATATTAATTACAAAGTTATTACAAGGGATACAGGGCAAGGCGTGTGGGAAGGGGTGCAGAGCTTCCACGCCCTCTCCCGGATCACCACCAGGGACCTCCACACATCCAGCGACTCAGAAGCCCATCTGAACCTAGACCTTTTCAGGTTTTATGGAGGATTTATTCCATAGGCATGACTGATTACAACACTGGCCATTCTTGATCAACTCAACCTTAGCCCCTCTCCCCTCTCCCCTCTCCCTTCTCCCGAGGTTTTGGGGGTGGGAGGAAAGTCCCAACCCTCTAATCCTGTCACAGTCTTTCTAGTGATCAGCCCTCCTCCTGAAGCCACCTCGGGCCCCCAGCCACCAGTCATCTCATTAGCATACAACAGACACTCTTACCACGCTGGAGATACTAAGGCGAGGAACCAGGGGCAGAGACCAAATACATAATATATTATATCACACTCTCACAGACTCATTCCGCATCCTCATGTGGTCTAGGATTTCAGGGTTCAGTTGACACTAACACCACATCCACAGAAGCCAGGAGCATGAGTTTGGCTTTCAAGAGCAAAATTCTGCTTGCTGACCTCAACTGCACTACTTCACTCCATTCAAAACTCTCCCTAGGTCATAAGCTGGCCTCACAGGGCTGCACAGATGGATGAGATGGATGTGTGATGCAGCCCATTCCCATGCCTAGAAAGCACAGCCTCTGGTGCACGTCGCTGCTCTCAGGATTGTTCTGAGGTCCCCAGGGCACTGTGGAGCCTGTCCGGGAAGGCAGAGAGGCAAGAGAAGGGTGGAGGCGGATTGGGTAAAAGGCTGCTGTCACAAAGACAGCCGACACTAAGGGGCCTGAAACAGACAAACTTCGTTTCCCTCCGATTAATAGTGCAGGCAGCCAGGTGGGTGCTCTGCTCTGTATGGTTGTTTAGCATGCAGTTTCCTTCCATGTAGTTTCCCATGGTCCCCGGGGCACTGTCCTTATCTTTATGGTCACTCTGGGCTGCAGCCACTTCCATGTTCCAGTTCATGAGACTGGGGAGAGGATGGGGGAGCATGTGCAATAAGACAACCCGCACTCCACCGTGGTCTTCCACCACCAAGAGCGGAGGCTCCTGGCCACACCTAGCTGCAAGGGAGGCTGGGAAATGGAGTCCCTCGTCGGGAGGCTGTCTGCCCAGCTCCAGCCTACTGTGGAAGAAGATGGGAGCTGGGCGCAGTGGCTCACATCTATAAGGACAGCACTTTGGGAGTCCTAGGCAGGAGGATAGCTTAAGCCCAAGAGTTCAGTTAAAGATCAGCCTAAGCAACATAGTGGAGACCCTGTCTCTACAAAAAAAATGCCAAAATTAGCCAAGCATGATGGTTCACACCTGCAGTCCCAGCTACTCAGGAGGCTGAGGCAGGAAGATCACTTGAGCCTAGGAGGTCAAGGCTGTAGTGAGCCATAATGGTGTCATTGCACTCCAGCCTGGGCAACAGAGAGAAACCCTATCTTTAAAAAAAAAAAAAAGAAAGAAAGACGGGAAGGATTTGGTGGACATCTGGCGGTGTCTACCAAAACGCTACACAATTTTTAAAAACAGGAGGTCCTAGCAACACATACAAATTACAAATTTCACAAAGGAGCCTTTGTTTATTGTAAAGTAAGCATCTCTCTAACACATCAGCCAAAGATGGTTACCTCTCTCTTTATCTCAGCCCCCAACCTACAAAGTCCTACATCCAAATACAGAAAATGCATGCATTTATACCTGTGGTAAGGAAAGAAAGGCACCACATTTAAACAAACGATGGGAGACATAAAGTAACTAGACTGAAAATCTGGAGCCACAAGGAGATGAACTTTGCCAGGATAAGAAAAAAAAATTACTGTGTAAAATAACAAACAGTCAACACTGATTACGATCAACTCTGCCCAAGAATTTGATTACATTAAAGGAAGGAAGGTAGTTTCAACGCTCTGGCTGTTGAAAGGTGGAGGCTGGTGGCCGTGGCTCAGAGGGAGCACCATAGAGTATGGGTGGGGCTCAGGCCAGGGCACCACAATTTAACTCTTCCAGGGGACGGAGGGCTTGGGAACCCTCGCTGGGAGGTCAGCATCTGGATTCTGTAAGAATAGAAGGATGTTTGCACGCAAAAGCATGGTGTGTGCATGCGTGTGCGTGCGTGCACAGGTGTGCGCATTATTATGGGCTGGTGTCCAAGGTTATTTTAGCAGAGAGTTCCAGTTTCCCTTCTGCTCTCTTGCCCCTTCATCTGGGAGGAGCAGAGAACAAGGTGTTCTAGGAATAGGAGAGGTGCCAGAGATTGCCGTAGTCAAAGAGGGAACCAGTAGGAGCTGCAGCACAGACTTCTCTTAGTCTGATAAGAACAGAAAGAACTTATCTGTGTGAGAAACACTTAGATGAGACCAGAACTTCACCTTCTGCATCCACCAATCTGAGGGCGCTGATATGCAAATTCAGCCTCCTGGGTGTTCAGGTAAACTCCTGAAGATCCCCAAGGCCCAGTTAATGAGAACAAATTACTCGCCCTGGGTCTCTATGTTCCATCTCCGTTCTCTCTCCTGCTGCCTCTGGCATCTGCTGCCCCTCTGCCAGCTATTCCTGTCTAGGCAAAATAACTAAGCTCATTTTCAGAAGCATTTTTTAAAAGGAAGTCCTACTGTTCTTTATTCACGGTCCTTTGGAGGAATATATTTCTCATTTCCTCCCTCATTAAAATGCTGCCGCCATATTTCTTCCTTTTGGCATTTTTGTGGTGGTCTTCTGAAGACTCTAGATGCTTTATTACACCAGAATGAGAGGGTCACTAAGCTCACTGTACAAGATAAACAAGACCGAATGATTTTAAAAATGCACAAGGAACAATGGGAAGCTTAATTTGCTTTGAAACTATCTGAAACGGGAGGCTCTTTTTCCCCAAGGCCTTGGAATTCTCTCTGGAATCTGAAGGGTCCCTTGGGAAACAGCCAGTCTAGGCTACTAGAAAGTCCTCTCCCCCTTGCAGGGGGTTTTGGGGACTGCTGGGATGCATTCCCTTCAGACCCGCACGGGTGGCTGTGGGCACCATGGGGTTTCTCGCCAGCCAAGCCCAGACGGGGTCCCTGGCTGCCTCCCACATTCCCCTGGATGATGATCCATGATTTTTTTGTCCCACTCATCTCTAAATCTCTGTTATACTTCATGGGAACCTCCTTTTGCCTGCATGTCCTCTTCATTCCCCTACCTTCTTCTCTGGTTTCCTTGAATCCTTCCTTCTCCTTAAACCATGCAATAAGCAGATACCAGCCCTTCCCCTGACGTGATACTAACATCTTTAAACTTCGGTTGTAAACTGTGTACAAGAATGACATATGTGAATAAATATTCCTTGGTTTTTTGTTTGTTTGCTTTTTAAAACGGAGACTAGCTCTGTTGCCCTGGCTGGAGTGCAGTGGTACGATCAGGGCTCACTGCAACCTCCGCCTCCTGGGTTCAAGCGATTCTCCTGCCTCAACCTCCCGAGTAGCTGGAATTACAGGCACATGCCACGACACCTGGCTAATTTTTTGTATTTTAGTAGAGACAGTGTTTCACCATGTTGGCCAGCTTGGGCTTAAACTCCTGACCTCAGGCGATCCGCCTGCCTCGGCCTCCCAAAGTGCTGGGATTACAGGTGTGAGCCACCATGCCTTGTTTGTTTGTTTGTTTGTTTGTTTTAAAGAACAGGGTCTCGTTCTTCCTCCCAGGCCAGAGTACAGTGGTGTGATCATAGATTACTGCAGCCTTAAACTCCTGGGCTCAAGTGATCCTCCCAGCTCAGCCTCCTGAGTAGCTGGGACTACAGGCATGTGCCACCATGCCTGGCTAAATTTTAAAACGTTTTTTTGTAGAAAGAGGGTCTCACCATGCTGCCCAGGCTCATCTGGAACTCCTGGGCTCAAGCAATCCTCCCACCTCAGCCTCCCAAAGCATTGGGATCCTGTAATCCCAGTTGGTATTAGCCAATGCACGTGGCCTCCTAGTTTTAAAAAATCTTATCTCCTGATTCTTTAAAATTATAAAAGTAATGTGCTCCTTGTAGAAACAAAACAGAAACCAAACAACCAGTGTGTTTATTAGAGGGATTTTAAAACCGGTTTTATTATTATGTATAAAAATACACTTTTTCTTTTGCAAACTTCAGATCATACAGCATCACAACTTTGTGGCCTGGTTTTTATCTTTGTTTTGGTTTTGTTTGGTTTTTGTCCCATTTTTGGAAGTGATTTCTGGTGGCCAGGAGTTCTCCATTGTGGGGATATGCCTCTGATACTTAAGGCTTCCTGTTTTGGATATTCAAGGGTTTTTTTTCTTCTCTTCTATTTTTCACCATTTAAAAGCTGCTATAATGAGCATCCTTGACATAACTTTTTCTGCCTAGCTGCTGATTATTTTCCTAAAATAAACTTCTAAAAGTGGAAACGGTGGTTTCTGGTGCCATAATAAAATTGCTTTTCAGAACGTTAGTGTCAAGTTATTCTCTCACCAGCTGAGCTGGAGAATTCCCAGAACCGTGGGAAAGTCTGGGGGAGGTCACGCAGTTCTTCCCATCAGCCACCACCCAGCCCTCGCAGGCAGGCTGTGTCAGCCTCCTTTGGGCCACAGGTTGGATTATGAATCAGGTTAAGAAGGTACTGGGGAGAGCAAACACAGCCTTTCTGACTTAGGAGGCATTATTCAAGAACTTTGCAGTTTTACAAAGGCTAAGACCAATTAATATTATTCACTAATTATATATAGGAGAGTGTAAGAGAAACAACCATTAAGTCTTTTGCACCTCCCAGAAACCAATTTGGGCTGGAAGAATTGTTCCACTTCAGGCCCCTTTGAGTCACCTAGACTCAAGAAACCCTTTGAACAAGCAGAAGTAACTATGTTTTCCACCTGCCACGCTGGCCTGGGAAGGGTTTCCAGACTCACGTCCTGTTTCTGGCCCTTTCCTACTACTACGGCATGAATTGTGTCTCCCTTGCCAAATTCATATGTTGAAATCCTCACCCACAATGTGATGGCCTTAGGAGCTGATGCCTTTGGAAGTGATTAGGCCATGAGGGTGGGGCCCCCGTGATGAATTAGGGAAAGAGGTAGAGACCCCAGAGCTTCCTCTCTCTGCCATGTGAGGACGCAGCACGAAAGTGGCCATCTGAAGCCAGGAAGAGAGCCCTCTCCAGGAACTGAATCTGCCGGCACCTTGGTCTTGGACTTCCAGCCTCCAGAACTGTGAGAAGTAAGTTTCTGCTGCCTAAGTCCGCAGTCTGTGGTGTTTTGTTACAGCAGACCAAGCTGACTAAGACAGATACTTGGAGGCAAACTTTCCTGCCTTGCTGTGAGAAGTATATGAAAATGTTAATGTTCTATTCTCTGTCCTGAGAAACAGAAGAGAATATAATTTCAGCTGTCCCAGTGGCCTAATCAAAAAGATATAGTAACCATATTTTTTATTTTCTGTCACTGATGCTTTGATAACTGGGCCCTTGCTGACCCTAGAGGACAGACTTCCCCTCCCAGCGTCAGCCAATTCCTAGAGACAGTAAACAGCTAGCCCACGAGCCTTCCTTCCTCCCTCCCTTCCCCCTTCCCACCTTCCTTTCTGCCTTTCTTTTTTCTCTTTCTTTCTTTTCTCTCTTTCCCTTTCCTTTCTCTCTTTTTCTCTTTCTTTCTTTCTCTTTTTCTCTTTCTCTCCTGTCTTTCTCTTTCTTTCTCTCTTTCTCTCTCCTTCTCTCCTTCTCTCTTTCTCTCTTTCTTTCTCTCTTTCTTTCTTTCTTTTTTTCTTTCTTTCTTTCTCACTCACTCACTGCTGGGCTCAAGTGATCCTCCTGCCTCAGCCTCCTGAGTCCCTGGGATTACAGGTACATGCCACCACACCTAATTTTTTATTTTTTGTAAAGACGAGGTCTCACCATGTTGTCCACGCTGGTTTCAAACTCCTGGCCTCAAGCAGTCCTCCTCCCTTGGCCTCCCAAAGTTGTGAGATTACAGACATGAGCCACCCCACCGAAGAATGCTGTTCAAATACAAAACAACCAATCCAGGGCTTATACCCCAACCACTTCCTTTATGGAGCTCTCACACATGGGGTCACCATCCACCTGTGCCAATCACCCCAGAGCCAGGTACCAAACAATTAGGGAAGCCCCTGTACCCCAGAGCCCACTGAAATCAAACCAGCCAATCCTAAGCCTGCTCACCCTGTCTCTCCCATACCTTCCTGTGGAAGCCACAGCAAAGGCTCCTGTCCACATTCCCCACACGTCCCTCTGCCTCCTGACCAACCCAGTGCGTCTCCATGTGGCCCTGCGTGGGATGCTGTGCCCCTTCTCGTGGGAGCTGTGGTAACAACCAACCTTTTCAGTGGCAGTCATCTCTCGATCTGCTGGCCTCACCATACCTCACATTTTCTATTAATACTCTCTATTTTAAGGCAAAGTATTCTACGATGAACTGATTGGCTAAAACAGTTTGGATTCTGCACCCCCTCCCTTTCTTACGTTTTAAAAAACTTTGACTATGCGAAGCTCAAAATGAACAGGCGGAATACCGGAAGGAAATGTTGCCAGTGGCTCTCTCAGGTGGTAGAACTGCTGCTCTTTCCATAGCTCAAATACTTGTGTTACTTTGCTTAGAACCAGGATAGAGCTTCCCCTCCAGCCTTCTCTATCGCCATTCCCCTGTTACTCCCTGGACTCCTGGTTACTCAAACTGCCCCCTTTCTCTCATTTCCAAGGGGCCATCACCTTGCTCACTTCCAGGGCTGGTCCTGCTGTTCCTTCTGCCTGGGGCACTTTTCCCCGACTTAAGGCTCCCCCACTGGGCTTCTGGCTTACCCGCACTGCCCACTCTAGCATTTGTCCCACTATGCTGCAACTGTCCCTGATTGTTTACAAGACAAAACAATGTACACGTCTAAAGAGATCCAATTTCTTTGACTTTAGTCAGTTTACAAGAAGGTATTCCCTTTATATGAGTACATAGTCAAAAATTCAATTTTATGCCCACCCCGCCCAAAAGACAGGTTATCATATTACTGGCCTGGCTATATTTAAGTGCATTTTCCATGTATGATAGTGTCAGAGGCGTCTGAACCAGAGCAGTCTATCTTGAATAGGAGCTGGGTAAAATGAGGCTGAAACCTACTGGGCTGCATTCCCAGACGGTTAGACATTCTAAGTCACAGAATGAGATAGGAGGTCGGCACAAGATACAGGTCATAAAGACCTTGCTCATAAAACAGGTTGCAGTAAAGAAGCAGCTAAATCTCAAGAAAACCAAGATGGCGATGAGAGTGACCTCTGGTCGTCCTCGCTGCTACACTCCCACCAGTGCCATGACAGTTTACAAATGCCATGGCAACGTCAGGAAGTTTCCTATATGGTCTAAAAAGAGGACGCATGAATAATCCACCCCTCGTTTAGCGTATCATCAAGAAATAACCATAAAAATGGGCAACCAGCAGCCCTTGGGGCTGCTCTATGGAGTAACCATTCTTTTATTCCTTTACTTTCTTAATAAACTTGCTTTTACTTTATTCTGTAGACTCGCCCTGAATTATTTCTTGTGCGAGATCCAAGAACCATCTCTTGGGGTCTGAATCTAGACCCCTTTCTGGTAACATTAGTATTCTTGCCATTTTCAAACTGGTTTTTTTTATTATTATGGTAAAATATACATAACATTAAGTTTATCATTCTAACAGTTTCCAAGTGTACAGTTCTGTGGCATAAACACATTTTCATTGTTATGCAATCATCACCACCATCAGAACAGAAACTCTGTCCCCATTCAACACTAATTTCCCCTTTCTCCCTTCCCAGTCCCTGGCACCCACCATTCTACTTTCCATCTCTATGAACTTGACTATTCTAGGTATCTCATAGAAGTGGAATCACACAGTATGTGTCCTTTTGTGACTTGCTTATTTCACTTGGCATAATGTCCTCAAGATTCATCCATATTGTAGTGTGTGTCAGAATTTTCTTCCTTTTTCACACTGAATAATATTCCATTTCATGGGTTTTAAATCGTATATTTAGTTACCAAAAGTGAATGTTTGGATGCATTTTATATAAAATTAGAATTGCTATCTTATATATTCATATCAACATAAAAAATATAACCCTATATCAGACCATCTAAAAGTCATCTGTTTATTGCCCTAATCCCTTCTATTGGGTCCAAACAGACCAACAAGCAAAGCTCCTCAATGGTCTAAGGTGGGCCCTTGAAAAAGGGTTCAAAATCAGCACAAAGTCTTTGCCAACACCTGTTGGTTTTTTCATCATTTATCCACAGAACTTTGCACAATGCCTGGCATACTGCAGTCTCCCTACACATACTTGTGGAATGAATGCATAATTGAACACATGAATGAATGAATGAACGAACGAACAAACGAAGGAACAAAGGGAAAAACTGCCCACTTGGCATGAAATACAGTTCTTGGTGAGTCCCTCTGTCCCTGAGCTGCCTCCCTCGATGGCCAGGTCATTGCTAATTCTGCAGTTGCATGAACATGATCATAAACTTGGATTAAGTCATTGCTGCTGAGGCTCTGCCTCAGGAGGAAACAAGGGGATTCGCCAGCTCAG